TGTGGCCCCGTCCTTCCCCGGGGGTCATGATTTAATGAATAATTTAGAATTTGCTCTACCCCAGGATGCTTCCACTTAAGTTTAAGCTTTCCTGGCCCAGTGGTTCATGAGAAAAAGATTTTTAAAGATTTTTCCTATATATTTTTATGTAAAAATTGGATTCCCTATTGTAGCCCCGTCCTACCTCCAGGGGTCTTGATTTGAACAATTTAGAATATACACTACCCCAGAATGCTTCCACATAAGTTTAAGCTTTTCTGGCCCAGTGGCTTTTGAGAAGAAGATTTTTACAGATTTTTTCTACATATTTCAATGTAAAACTTGGATTCCATATTGTGGCCCTGCCCTACCCCCGGGGGTTATAATTTGAACAGATTAGAATCTACAATAATTCAAGATGATTTCATATAAGTTTCAGTTTTTCTGGCGCAATGGTTCCTGAGAAGAAGATTTTTAAAGATTTTTTCTACATATTTCAATGTTAAAATTGGATTCCCTTTTGTGGCCCCGCCCTAGCCCCGGGGGTCATGATTTGAATAATTTAGAATCTACACTACCTCCGGATGCTTCCACATAAGTTTCAGCTTTTCTGGCCCAGTGGCTTTTGAGAAGAAGATTTTTACAGATTTTTTCTACATATTTCAATGTAAAACTTGGATTCCATATTGTGGCCCTGCCCTACCCCCGGGGGTTATAATTTGAACAGATTAGAATCTACAATAATTCAAGATGATTTCATATAAGTTTCAGTTTTTCTGGCGCAATGGTTCCTGAGAAGAAGATTTTTAAAGATTTTTTCTACATATTTCAATGTTAAAATTGGATTCCCTTTTGTGGCCCCGCCCTAGCCCCGGGGGTCATGATTTGAATAATTTAGAATCTACACTACCTCCGGATGCTTCCACATAAGTTTCAGCTTTTCTGGCCCAGTGGCTTTTGAGAAGAAGATTTTTACAGATTTTTTCTACATATGTCAATGTAAAACTTGGATTCCCTATTGTGGCCCCGCCCTACCCCCGAGGGTCATGGTTTGAACAATTTAGAACACTACCTCAGGATGCTTCCACATAAGTTTCAGCTTTTCTGGCCTAGTTGTTCTTGAGAAGAAAATTTTTTAATGACCCCACCCTATTTTTGTCTTTTCTTGATTATCTCCCCTTGGAAGAAGGCTTGGTCCTTCATTTTCACAATTTAAACTCCCCTTTACCCAAGGATGCTTTGTACCAAGTTTGGTTAAAATTGGCCCAGTGGTTCTTGAGAAGAAGTTGAAAATGTGAAAAGTTTACAGACGGACAGACAGACGGACGGACAACGGGTGATCAGAAAAGCTCACTTGAGCTTTCAGCTCAGGTGAGCAAAAAAAAACTCTGCTCCTGAGTATTTATCAGAGAAACTAAGAGCACAGTTATGATGAGGAAGGGTGTTTCTTCCAAAATTGTTAAATTCATGGCCCCTGAAAGGGATACTGGAGTCAGCGTGGATCTCTATTAATGTGATCATGGGGGAAGCGGGCTCTATTATAACCATGCTCTGCTTTAAGTAAGCACTGAATTATTATTTTTTTTTTGAAAGATGTAGTCTCATAACTGCAAGGGTGCGCTGTGAAAATTTGTTTGCACACACAATTGCAGTTATGAAACTAGATTCTTCAAAAAATAATTATTAGCATTCTTTTACTACCCGGGCCCGTAGCAACGGTTTCAAAAACGGGGGGGGGGGGGGTCAACCCCCCCCCCCCCCAAAAAAAAAAATCTGACAAGCACCCGGCTCCCCAGCTACATGCCTTATCTGCAAATGAGATTTATATCTCAGAATCCTTGTATTATCCTTCGTATAAGTTACAATTAATGGAAGAGCCATTGCAACAGCCTCTGCCAAAGACTGTTCAATATGAGCGTTGTGGCAACGCACTTTGAAAAAAATACTTGTTAAAATTGGGACAAAATTAACGCACTTTGAAAAAAAATTTCAAAGTCCGTTAAATTTGGGACAAAATCAACGCACTTTGAATTTTTTTTTCAAAGTGCGTTAAGAGTGTACATCAACATTTTTTACCATGGAGATACGTAACGCACTTTGAAAAAATATGTATAAAACAAAATTTCTGGACTTAGATTTAAGTAATAGACAGCATTATTTTGTTATATTTCTTTCGAAAAACTGATGAATTGATCTATCCTCATCGAGAACGAGAAGACAGATAGAAGGCCCCTCGACCGAACTCTTTATCTTTCCTACCCAAATATATGTAATTACATAACGTAGTATGACATTGGTATACTTTCTCTCAATAAATTTGAGTTATCGTAAATTAAATAAAAAAATTGAGATAAGCTTTCCTAGAAAAAAAAATAATAACGCACCCTTTTATATTAAAGAAGAGAGGTTCAGGGGCCATATAACTGATCTAAGCAACAATGGCCAACTGACTATTCTTTGGCCAAAGTAGATTTACAAAATCAACTTGTATAAAATGCATTAAAAATGTTCATACCTCTTACTAATCTAAGAACTCTCTTAAAAAAAAAGACCATCATATTGTGCAGGAATGAACATTTTTTTCATCTTCTAAATACTTATCAAATAACTATAAAAAGACCATCATATTCTGCGGGAAAATTATTTTCAATGGAAAAATCATAATTGCTCCCCTTTCCCTAAGAAAAATGGGATGCTTTAAGTCATAAATCGACCCCTACATCTACAGAACTTATTATAGACTGGAAATAAAAAAAAAGAAACGGAATCGTGCTACTAAACAATCATTCCTCCATTATTACTAAAAGACCCATTTCCCTTTTAGTACTATTACATTTACAAGAACCTTTGGGAACTAGACAACCCCTAAAAATCTTTAAAACGTCTATATCTCAGATCCTGAAGTGACGTCATCACCGAAAAGTTATCCATAAAGGTTCAAAGAATTATTCATCATACCTAAAATTTGCAAGAATATTGACCAAGCCGTGTACATTTTTTTTTCAAAGTGCGTTAATATGGTCAATATTAATGCACTTTGAAAAGAAAAATTTTTTTGTCAAAGTGCGTAAACTTGGTCCCAAATTTAACGCACTTTGATTTTTTTTTCAAAGTGCGTAATTTTTCAAAGTGCGTTGTAACAGAGCGTGAATATTGATTTTCGCTTAAAACGTTGCACTTGCACGGCGTTCAACGTTAACTTTCTGACGTCAAAATAAAAACCATACTTTAATTTTTTGACCTCCGTGTCCGTGTTACATAGTGTTTTGAATGCCTTAGCCTTCCAAACACTTTATTAGCAAAATACATGTGGAATATATGTATATATGGCAAGTTATTCCACTTTCTTACTCACTTAATCAGCGAGACCAGCAAGCGGCGCGAAGAGAAAATTCGGACTGTGTACAATAGATCCAAGCCAGTTTGTTAAAATGAAATATGAAGATAACGAACAGTATTCAAGCTCAAAAGTCCATTTAAACAATATAAATCGGGAGCAGAGCAAACAAGGACCTCTAAAACATCAAAGGTAGGATCAGGTGCCATGGAGGAGTGAGTATCCCCCGCCGACCGGTCACACCCGTGTGCTCCTTGTCATGTTCGGGAAAAACGGAATAATTCGTAGACAATTCAGTGTGTAAATAATGGCCTAACAATTAGTTTGAAGAACGTCAGTCAGCATTTGACTTAATGATAGATATAGACCATAGAATTAAAATCATATCCACGGTATTATATCGCGGGTATGATTTTTTTAAATAAAACGTTAATTTTACGTTATATTTTGTCAGTCCTCCACGGTTAAGTGGCGGCGTCTCAAAATGAGTCATAAATTCTCGAAGGGATGTTAAACAAACCACAAGTGCTTGTGGACAGGACCCCCCCCCCCCCTCCCGAATATACACCATGTTTATTTGTTTTCTTCCATAAATTAATCTTCTAATACACATTTACAGTGTATTAATTCGGATGAAAAAAACGTAGAATTAACGTTTTATTTAAAAATCAAATTAAAAAAACAGTATAATACCGCGGGTATGATTTTAATTTTACGTTTTTCCCCATACATTGTATTCAGGGTGGAGGGGTGGGGGATCTGACCAGAAGAACCTGTGAAACAAACTTCCGATAGTGATACGAGGGTGTTGACTCCCATCTGGCTTGTTTTTTTTAAAGGACAGATGATACAAAAAAAATTATCAAAAATCCTGAAAATAACAACCCAAGATATATTATAGGATTAAAATGAGTAAGTTTAACCGCATAGATTTTAATCACAAGTACTTATAATTATGGACAGGACAGCTCCCCCCCCCCCCCCCCCGATATTCAACCCCGGGGCTTGTTGGACGTTTTTTTCACAAATTATATTTATTGCACTTAGCCTATTCATCATGTGTACCATAGGAAAAAAAACGTGAAAACCCCAAAATAATCATTCCACACAAAAAATGCCTCACTATACATTACTGATAATGTATAGTGGGGTATTTTTGTGTGGAACGATTATTTTGGGGTTTTCACGATTTTTTCCTATGGTACACATGATGAATAAGTGCAATAAATATGATTTGTGAAAAAAAATGTCCAACAAGCCCCGGGGTTTAATGTTCGGGGGTGGGAGGTCCTGTCAACAAGTACCTGTGACAAAAATGGAATTTTAAGTGACAAAAAATTGTAAAGATTAATGAGGATGGTTGCAGAAAGGCTGAATTTTGAACATCATAGAAAGTTTACAAATTCTTAATATTTTAGAAATGTATTAGTCACATTATTTACAACCAAAATAGGTCAAAAAATATATACCAATCCAGGCATCCATATTTTTGTTTGTATCATATAACCTTAAGTTTCGGTTTATTTTGTTTTAATATAAAAAAGTTATCTACCTTTTAATGGATCCTTGATAGGGATGTAAAAAGGCATCAGGTTTCTTGTTTATGTTCAAAGGTTAGCGCGAAACTCCCATGTCCGATATGCCATTTCTCATGTACAACTGTACGAGTTAACTCTTCATGTGAAAACTTCCGGTAGGTACTCGAAGAGCGAGGAATGGGAAAACGAAAAGAATCAGGAACGGAGGAAGACATATTCTCAGGTAAAATATAACTCTATCCTCAGAAAGGTCTTTACCAAAAACATGAAGAAAAGTAAAAGATAAATATGATTGAACCTTTCTTTATTTATATCCTTTCAAATATAGTGACAGAGAACATTCGAGCTGTTAATGTTTTCATAGAGCTACCCAGACCAATATCCTCAGTCCAGTTAGCCTTCTACATTAGCATCTACCTGTCTAACATGATTGTGAAAATTATATACATGTAGTGTGAAGTACATTTAGTTTATTTCCTTTCTTGTATTATAAAATAGACCAATTATGCTTAACAGGTCTGGTACAATCACTAGATTTAGCTACGTAGCTTGAATTACCTACATAGCTTTATTTACCTACCTGAAGTAGCTTTATTTAGCTATTAAATCAAACCTATTTCTTAAATTAGCATTTTCCCCAGAAAGTGCAGAAAATTGCACTTTGACAGGTCCGGCACAATCTCTCGATTTAGCTCTATAGCTTGATTTAGCTATATAGCTTTATTAAGCTATTCAGAATAGCTTGATTTAGCTATTTTATCACATTTTTTTCTCAAATGTATTATCTTCTCAGCATGCACAACAAGTCGCACCTTGGTGCAATGATAATATTCAACCTTGAACTCTTCTGAAAATAATGCATGTAAAAATCACTCATCAAATTGTGTTTCCTTAAGAGACTTTGTACTCCAGGGTTCGACACTAACTTTTTTAGGCTTTAGTCCAGCCAGACTAGTGCTTCATTACTTTTACTAGTCCACACGCAATTTTATTAGTCCGTCAAAAAAAAAGGAAACATCAATGTTTTTAACATTAATTAAACGTGACAATTTATATACGTATTATTTTTTGAAATAAACAAAGTATTTACATGAAATATATTATTCCACAGATTCATTGAAATTTCGCAATCAGCAAGTACGATCGTTTTCCCTATCTCGTTTTTTTGTTTTTGTTTTTTTTTTGTCTTTACATTACATCCAAAACGTCCAACATCTTTCTTAAAAGTGTCATACTAAATCATGATCGCTAAAACTTTATACTTCATATCGATCAGTTGGAAAAATTAAGGACCCTCTATACTCCATTGCAAAATGTTTTTTGGACATTGAGAAAATTATATTGAATAAAGTTGTAAATATTGAGCCTATCAATTTAATTTTCAATATATGGTACGTGGCAATTATTTCCAGGAAAAATGTTCAAAGACAATCAAGTATCAATGAACAGAAATCACTATTGTTTACTTCCGTGGATAAAATACATGCGAAAAAAGTGTTCAATTAACTTATCTTGGCTATTTAAAATGTTTTGAATGCTTGAACTGTTACAAATTGAGTAATATACTGTAAATTTCAATTTAATGGAATTTAGATCTAAGGGCAGATCACTCTTACTGCAGAAAAATACCATAGGATCAGAACTCTTTACTGTGCAGTGTAGAGAGGGTTCTTAAGCGCTGAATTGACGTAACTACCCGCCAAAAGCTAGAAATCTAAAAATACACGCAGGGTTTTCCAGTAAAAGTTGTAGAGAATCGGACATCGGTAATTTATTCATATTGTTTTTCAGAAATTTTTATTGGTCCGTTCGGACTAATTAGCCACATATTTTATTAGTCCGAATGAAAATGTATTAGTCTGAGACTAACGTTAATTCGAACCCTGTACTCAAAGTTCTAAAAGTTTTGGGGCTATATAAAGCAATTGATACAGTTAGATCTTGAATGAAATTATAAAGGAGGTCAATTATGGTCAACAAGATAATTGATTCGTAATAATTCAGTACAATGAGAAGCAATCTTACTTATCCATGCCTCAACACACACAAGGTAGTGTACTGTAACCAAACAATGGAAATTCATCTTTTGCTTAAAAGTATTCAAATGCTGCAATGTTGGAACTATCTTTGATTTTGGTTGTTGTTTTGATAGCCCATAGTACATATATGAATAGTCAATTACTTGCGACTTTTTGTCTATTTTGCACAAATAACATTTTTGTTAAAAACTGCATATAAATAGCTTTATCAAGCTATTTTGAATAGCTTAATAAAGCTATATAGCTATTTCAAGCTATATAGGTTAATCAAGAGATTGTGCTGGACCTGTTTGATGCAGTGATTATTTTCAACTTTGAACTCATCTGAAAACATCTCATGAAAAAATCACTCTTGGTGATGTGTCTTTTTCTGCGCAATTGCAATTGCAATCAAAGTTCTAAAAGTTTTGGGGCTATATACAACAGTTAATTTGTGACCTAACAGTTACCTCTTGAGTGAAATAACAAAGAAAACCAGTTTTGGTTAACATGAGCACAATGTGAAGTAATCATACTTATCCATGCCTCATCGCACACAAGGTGGTGTACAGTTACTCATACAATGGAAATACATATTTTCCTTAAAAGTGTTCAAATGCAGCAATGTTAAAGCTATCTCTGCTTTAGATTGCTAATACCTAGATGTCCAGCTACGGTAGGTAATTTTAGCTACGTAGCTAAATGTACTGATTGTACTGGACCTGGCTTAAACAGGTTGGGAACAATTCCCCTGTAGAGAGATCATCTCGCTACAGCGCGATCATCCCTCTCTAGCGGGAGAAAATATATCTCGGAAACCCGAGATTTATATTCCGATTCCATCTGTAAACGTGTTAACTACCGTAAAAGGAAAATCCGGAAGCATGTCAACCCATTTGTTAAATATTTATTGTCTCATCTCAATATATTTGCTTTAAAATATTGCCTCTACTGCTGCATACCTTGGAAATTTGAATAAGATCTTGCACAATTGTATAGACTTTCTACGGAGGACCACAAGTGATAAATATCAGTACGAGTAAACTTGCTTATTGCAGATGTACGTATATCTTTCGCCTTATTTTTTAATAACCCCGTTTGAAAAGCGGGGGATATATAGTGATCAGGTGTCCGTCAGTTAGTCTGTCTATAAAGCTGTCCGTCCGTCCATTACGATTTGGGGTACCCATCTCTTATCAGCAACTCCTCATACCACTAAATAAAATGTAATAATACTTTTAAATTGTGACCTCCTAATTTATCTTTTTATCGGACAGATATTGGACTTTCCCATTGCAACAAATGTACTTAATCATTATACACATGTGGGAGCAAGAGTTTCATTTCATGACCTCATTGTTACACTCGTCAATGTTTGCAGGATCTTCTATATATTTATTCTTTTGTATATTTTACCCGTGAATGAAAAAAAAACCCATCAGTGTAATTTTCACTTTCTCGTCCTACATTAATAACTCAATTTAAAAAAAAAAGAAAAAAAAACATTAGACCATACTATTGTATTGCTCTCAAAATATAACTGTACATGTTATTTTGAAAAAATCACAAATTTTCGGCGGCGAGGGGAGGGGGGGGGGCAACAATTGCAAGGAACAAATACAGTAGGTAGGTTATGTGACTAGATTTCTTTAGATTTATACCGAAGTTCAAAAACAGATGCATGGTAAAAGCTATCAACATTAACCATTTTCAATTCACAGCCAATTTAATTTAAATAGTCTTATGGGTGACCTTCAAGTATGACTCGACTTACAGGAAGCCATATAACCTGCAAATCATCGCTTATACGTGACGGCCCCCCTTGTTAACTCAATAAAAATATAATAATTTTCATTGTAGGAATAATAAATTGTTAATTACGAAGTATTTCACATAGTGTTAGTAAATCTTCTTTCTAAATAAATGCGTACCTTTAAAAGCATTTATTCCCTTGGGCACTTTTTATTTATTATTTTGGTCAAATTTTTTGGAAGCCCCCCCCCCTCCTTTTTGAAAAAAAAAATCTACAGGCCAGGGTTCTCCTATGCAATCTCTGTATTGGAAAGTATCTGATGCACTATTAAAATTTACATTTGTTATGCAGGATCCCAACATGATTCCCGCGTAAGTGTCCTCAAACGTGGAACTGTTCATTGCCACCGGAAAAAAACTTTAAGAATTTGTCATTGAAGTACATGTACGAACACTTAGGGCCTATACATCTTCAAACTAACACAACACGTGGAAAGCAGTGATCACTCAACAATTTCGCATTTTTGTTTTCTCTGTGTTATAAAAAAATAATTCATACTAAACTGTTTTGTGCCGTTTATCAGTTATGCTTGACTATGTTCCTATGAATATTGATGAGCTAAGACAACCAATGAAAATCTAGATCACCATTTGACGGTTATTATGCGTCGAGAATATCACGCTTACTGCAAGTCCAAGAGTTACTATACATGTATATCAACATTTTGTACTATGTCAATATCGGTTAGACTTAATTTAAACTTTTTTAAATTGATTTGTTTTCAATTATATTTAATTATTTAATGGGGTATCCAGCTTGTATGTATGTCATTGATAGTTGTTTTTTTTAATCATGACTTTTGAACAAATGTTACAACCCTGCTGCGCTTCTATACTTCTTGTAGTCCACCAAAGATCAAATATTTAAGCAATGGTCATGGGTTTCTGGAGAACGTAATTATTACCTTCTGTGCACGAAGGGAAAGCTAAAACCTTAACGAATATAATTTGGATATCTATTCATATTTTATATTGCTTCATAAACATATATAACTGTAAATTTTAAAACCGTTGCAAAAAAATGCACGATTTACACTTGATTTTCGCCTCCTATTCTCACATGCAGCAGTGATTGTCTTAAATTTCTAGCCCAGGTTATCAGTTTTATGTAGGAAATTCAAGCTTCAATGCAGCGTTCTCCCGGATTTTTAAAAAGCACGAGATTTTTGATTATTTTGTAATCAAAACAACAAAACACCTGTTTATGGTAATGTTTATTATACCGCTATAGAGGGATAATCGCGCTGTAGCGAGATGATCTCTCTACAGGGGAATTGTTCCCAACCTGTTAAAGCTAACTTATCTTGATCAGGATATTTCTGTTTTGAAAGGCTTTACTGTCATCTCTTTTTAAAGTATTTTGGGAGAAACAAATTTAAAATGAACCAAAGGCTTCTAAAGTTGAACTTCAGTATCTTAAATATTGATATCTAGAATACCATACATATGTAGAAGTGAGATGAAAGATCTGTGTACTCTTTCCCTATGTATTTTAACCTCAATATCTCAAATTCTTGGATATCTCTAGTTTGTTCTCAGTCCCTTTGAGTTTCAGATAATGAGATTTGACTGTATGTAAATAAAAATGTGATAAATGACATTGTTTCGAACTAATTCTTTTAAAAATGATGAGCAAATAGTAACCATCTTTCAGTGCTCCAATTATTGAAATACAGTCAAATCTCATTAACTCAAACTTGTTGGGACTAAGAAAATACTTCGAGATTTCTGAGAATTTGAGATATCCAGGGTAAAATACTTATTAAGAAATAAGCACTTGGGACTTCAAAATCACTTCAACATATCCATGGTATTCGAGATATCTGTGTTCGAGATACCGGACTGATACATGTAAAAATACTGAAATGACTTTTTTCCTTCTTCATTTTGTAGAGATGGGTATCACCAAAAATTTTGTATCGCGATATATCACGATTATTTCCCAAAATATCACGATACTATCATAATATTTTTACGCGTAATTTTTACTAGGGTTTTAAATGAATTTCTTTGATTTTCTAACAAATATAGTGTGAAAACATAACTTCCCTTTTTTCATTTTTATTTATATACAAATAATTTAAAAGCATGTTCTAATGCTAGGATGCCGTTGTTTTACTGTTTTACAACATTTTTTACTATTACTGTAATTGTAATTCAAGAATTTGAACAAAAAAAATAATAATTTCCAGAATTTAAAGTTACACACTTAAGGAAGCTCTAAACACTGCTCAGTAAAGGGTTCAAATTCCATGGTAGTTTTATGCAGTTAGAGTGATCTGCCTTTGATGTAAAATGGAATAAATGAAACTCTACAGTTCATGACACAATTTAGAAAGATTAACATATTCTTAGCATTATGTTATACTAAAATAATTTAATTCTGATTGTAACGTGCCATTTGATTGGATAAAAAATTTACTTTATATCATATATATTGGATTGCCTATATCACAATGACTTTCATCAAAAACGTATCAATCCACCTGATGTTACTGTAACATTTAAATTTTGTACAATTTGAAGTCATTTTTAAGGGCAATCATCTTTTTTCTTACACAAAATGAATGAAAATTAAATTATAAGGAACGAAATTAAAAGCTGCACAATTTATACGGTATAAAGTGGGTTGGAACAGTTTACGCTTTTTTATAAACCGCTTCGCGATTTATAAAGCGTAAACTGCCCCAACCAACTTGATACCGTATAAATTGGGTAGATATTAAATTCATTCCTTAAATAAAGTAATTGAAATCATTGTTTGCATGTTCATTCCCAATGTAAGTAAACAACAGTGATTGCTGTTCACTAATACTTCATTGTCTTTGAACAATTTTCCTGGAGAAATATGGCAGGTACGCTATGTTGAAATAAAAAAATTCATTATGTACACCATTATTTGATAAAATTTTCTCAAAGACCAAAAACATTTTTAAAATTCATCAGTGTTTAGAGCTTCCTTAATACCGGTATTTTAGTCTCCGTATCACGATACGTATTGCGCAATAAAATTCATGATATACTGGTATACGGATAAAATCGCACATCCTTATCATTTTGGTCAACCAAAATTGGCAAGTAGATCTGAAAGTATGTCCATCCCCATGTAAGAGGTAGGGATATATTTTTCTCATGTATTAAGGTACTTGGTGCAGTAGTTATAGACCTTGCAACCTTTAAACTTGATCTATAACCAACTTTTCAAAATAGTTCGTAGTACCGATGAACTTACCTTTGAGAGGTAAGGTTTTTGCACTGCTTGTCATTAGACATTCTGAGAATTACCAGTTTTACAGTCCATTTGACCTTGACCTTTGACCTAATTTTCAAGAATACTCTGAATACTCAAAAAGTGGGAGGTGTTCAAACTCAAACATCTTATTTCATCGGGTGCCGTGGTAAATTTTGTTTGATACCTTAACTGGAGAGATTTGACCATATGTGACAGAAAGTTGGGGGGAAGGGGGTCACTAGCCTTTCATTGAAGATTTTCATATTATATGAATATTAAAACATGCTACATGTCTGCAGACTGATGTCTCTTTCAAGTTTTGAATTTGAGGGGTTTTATGTGTGTATAAATAAATACTATAATTCTATCTTTGATCCTTTCAATGGGAAATAATTAAGAATTGGTGAAAATATGATGCCATCTCTTTTAAATTTTCTTCTCAAGAACCAGCAGGCCAAAAAAGTTGAAACTTATGTGAGACTTAATTATATACGAGGGTTGTCGGTAAAGTTCTTGGACAACATTGATAATTACTGACCAACATTGATAAAATATAGGAAACTATTATTTTCATTAAATTCATGTTTCAGTTGATTAATATGCAAGTTTTCATCACAAACAAAGCACAAATAGTTACATTCTATCAGATACAAAAAAGAATACACACTCATACCCGGAGCACTCAAACAAAAATCCTTGACGTTAATCAACGTGAAAAGCTAAATACATTTAAGTTTTCTTAACGTAGTCACTGTTAAACTCAACATATTTCTTATGTCGCTTCAACCAGTCATCAAAAATGTGCACAAACTGTTCTGGTTTAATTTCATATGTGAAATTATAATATTTAGCAGTTCCTGTCTCAGATCCTGCAAATCATCAAACCTCTGTCCTCGTAAAACGACTGTGTGTACGGAAATACGGCAAAGTCACGTTACAAACTTCATTTTTTACAGCACTACAATCACGGAAAAATGGTCTTCCTTCACGCATGTCATCCAGTAAACTGTCTCTTCCGTCCGAAAATCTTATGTGCCACTTAAACACTAAAAATAGATTACTTTACCATGATTTCCCGACTGTTTAAGGAATTTATGGGTTTCTGTCGGTGTTTTTCCGATGTCTACACAAAATTTTATCACTACTCTCTGCTCCAACTTTTCCGAAAATGTCCCTTTTTCGGAACAGTGACGATCCTGTCTGAACAAACTCTGACCTCAATTTCTCTGCCATTTTGAAACTTTGAACTTTCAAATTTTAAAGGTTTGACGTTATAACTTTTGTCAACCTTATAATGTAAAAGCCATCCAAATTTCCGCAGAATTTTACAAAAAACAAATGAAATGTATAAGGTGATAAATAACTTTTTAATTAAAACTTTGTTGTGCTCCGGGTCACCATCCCAAGTCTAATAATGACGTCATAATTGTAATTATACACTTAAAATTGAATAAAATTTTTCATTTTGTAATTCACACATAGTAAAGAATTATAAATATACTAATGATAAATATCTATGACGCAACTTTTATTTAAATTTTAGCTTGTCCACGAACTTTACGGACAACCCTCGTAGAGTGGATTCAAGTTTATTCAAATCATGGCCCCCAAGGGTAGGATGGAGCCACAATGGAGGATCAAAGTTTTACATAGGAATAAAGGAAAAATCTGATGAGGTTTCTGAACAGTCTTATGATTTACACTTTAAATTATACAGATTCCTCAGCTGTTGGACATAAGAAGCATAAAAAACACAAGAAAAAGCACAAAAAGAAGAAGGACCTAAGTGAAGATTATGCAGTCATTCCTGAAGGAGGGGCCAGCAGTGGTCCTAAAATCAAACTTAAGCTGAAGATTGGTGGACAGACAATGGGAACAAAGAAGTTAGTAGTCTTTTATTCTGTCCTTTCATATTTTTTGGATAGAATTTGTACTGATAAAATTTATTTCCCTGTCTTTATGAGTGAACACCTTCATAAAGAGGAACTACCATGGTACGTTCCTCATTCATATAAAGTTTGTAGATAATAGATGCATGTATCAATGATAGAATGAGTAAATTCTAATGGAGAAGACAATTATTAACTAGTAACCATACTTAGAAAGCTGATGCCGTGCTTTGTTTCTTAAATTTGTATTAAATTACTTGTAAGCTTGCCATCAGTGGAGAAGACAGAAAACAGTGGGGATGATTCCCCAATTATTGATGTCACAGATGATACTTGGGGTGGTAAGTGGACTACAGATATAAAAGTTACAGAAATTTAATATTTATTGCTCTAGATTTATTTCATTGGGTCCAGAATATTAAATATTATATTTAAACCTAGCATGTACATGTATTTAGACATGTATTGGACTTTTCATAACATTCTGATTTTCCCTAGTGTATGTAAATTTATCTAAACAAAAAAAGAGTATGTAAGGATAACTATATAAGAAAAAGTTTTTTTTTGGGGGGGGGGGAGGGGGGTCAAACTATAGTAACATAAAATGCAAGTTTCATACATTTAGTAATATAAAGGAAATTCTGGCAAATGCAAGAATTATGAATGGACTTTTTCAGAAGGTGATGAGCCCTCTTTCCCAACAAAGAAAAAGGGTGATGATACGTCAGACGAGGAAAAAGAGTGGCTGGATGCTCTGGAGAAGGGGACACTAGACGACTCAGGGATGTTAAAAAGGAGTAAAGATCCTAAACTGATGACTGCAAGACAGGTAATGATGACTCAGGGATGTTAAAAAGGAGTAAAGATCCTAAGCTGATGACTGCTAGACAGGTAATAATGACTCAGGGATGTTAAAAAGAGCTAAGATCCTAAGCTGATGACTGCCAGACAGGTAATAATGACTCAGGGATGTTAAAAAGGAGCAAAGATCCTAAGCTGATGACTGCCAGACAGGTAATAATGACTCAGGGATGTTAAAAAGGAGTAAAGATCCTAAGCTGATGACTGCTAGACAGGTAATAATGACTCGGGGATGTTAAAAAGGAGCTAAGATCCTAAGCTGATGACTGCCAGACAGGTAATAATGACTCAGGGATGTTAAAAAGGAGCAAAGATCCTAAGCTGATGACTGCCAGACAGGTAATAATGACTCAGGGATGTTAAAAAGAGCTAAGGTCCTAAGCTGATGACTGCTAGACAGGTAATAATGACTCAGGGATGTTAAAAAGGAGCTAAGATCCTAAACTGATGACTGCCAGACAGGTAATAATGACTCAGGGATGTTAAAAAGGAGCAAAGATCCTAAGCTGATGACTGCCAGACAGGTAATAATGACTCAGGGATGTTAAAAAGGAGTAAAGATCCTAAGCTGATGACTGCCAGACAGGTAATAATGACTCAGGGATGTTAAAAAGGAGTAAAGATCCTAAGCTGATGACTGCTAGACAGGTAATAATGACTCAGGGATGTTAAAAAGAGCTAAGATCCTAAGCTGATGACTGCCAGACAGGTAATAATGACTCAGGGATGTTAAAAAGGAGTAAAGATCCTAAGCTGATGACTGCTAGACAGGTAATAATGACTCAGGGATGTTAAAAAGAGCTAAGATCCTAAGCTGATGACTGCCAGACAGGTAATAATGACTCAGGGATGTTAAAAAGGAGCAAAGATCCTAAGCTGATGACTGCTAAACAGGTTATGATCCCTACACTGATGACTGCTAAAAATGTAATGATCCAAACTGATGACTGCTAGAAATGTAATGATCCAAATTGATGACTGTTAGAAATCTAATGATCTAAAATTGATGACTGTTAGAAATGTAATGATCTAAAATTGAGTCAGCTAGACAGTTAATGATCAAATGATGATCTTATGAAGATAATGATGATAGAAATTGAAGTCTGTTAACAGTAAAATATAACTAATGGTGGGCAGGTCTTGACTTTCTATATTGACCAATGTAAAGATGTCTAAAACTAAGAACATCTTAACAGATGCATGCTGGCCAGCGTGCCCTAGTGGGTATTTATTAATCTCAGATTGACGACCACTAGAAAATATATATTGGCCAAACTGCCAAACTCGTAATGAGGATCAAAAGTATGAATGACCCTAACTAATAACAGAAAATGATGATTATTGATACATACAAACTGTTGACTTCTGGACAGGTAATGAACTAATGATGGTATGAACTGATGACTGCTTTACAAGCAATGATAATGCAAAGCATCTTTTTGACAAAATATCAATTTGTCCTTTGACCATTTAATTTCTCTTACTAGACGTACAGCAGACTTGGTGTTTGGTAATGTTTTGTTTTTTCAATAATCCCAGATGATTAAGATTAATCCACTGCTTTTATACCAATATCTTGTTCTGATTTAGCTTGGCTGTGATATTCTGACTGCGATTTATCTGATATCAGATTGAACTGTACACATGCATTTATTTGGAAGTATGAATATGCTTTTATAAGGCTGTTACAGGACATAAATCTATGCATGGTTAGTGATTGCATGTACAATTTATACTTGTTCCAATAATATTCTATTTATTTTATTGAACAGAGAGCCTTAATTCATGGACAACAAGCTGAACTTCTACAACTGCCATCAGGTCAGAATATTATATATCTCTAACTGTACAGTCTTTCCAGCAGTGCTATACTTTAAGCATCATAAGAAAATACTTATTTATAAATTTGACATAATTTATGATGGGGAATTTTCTCACATCACAAAATTTTGATGTTATAGAAGATATGTTTGTAGCAGGAGGAAGAGACAAAACATTTTTTTTAGGGACAGGTAAACTCACTTTTGGGGCAGAAGTATGAACACTAGTCAATCTTCTAGTACTACATATTCTTAACAAGTTCTTCTGTTCATGTAGGATATAAGACAGTGGAACTAACAGAAGAACAGGTGGAAAAACGACAACAGAGGGCCAAAAAACGGCGACAACAGGCACAAGAGAAACGAGAGAAAGACAAAGTAAAAACTCATGTGCAGACTTATAAATCACTGTTACAGTATAAATTCATTTTAGAATATTAACACAATATAATTTAAAGCATACACTTTTGTAAGTATTATTATTGTGGAATTTTCTTTGTCTCCCACTTTCATGAAAGCAAGGAGACATTATACATTTGTTGACTGGGTCGAGGAATACTGTACAGCAGGAAATTAACTCGCGGAGTTAAAATTTAAAATTTGCTAAATTCACGGAAATAAAAATTCCGTGAATTCAACAAACAGTGAATAATTCTTCAAAAATTGATATGGATAAATTGAAATATTACCGATATCTGTGATTAAATTTGTTAAATCTATTTGTGTTTCCTTGCAAACATAAAAAGCAGTAATTAATATAGCGGAGATGAAGACTGTCTTCCTAATTATGCAATTGATCAATCACTACACGTAACACATAATTGTTGGGTTTTTTTAAAGCTTAATTGACAAATAAACATCTATAACTAACATTTAATTCTGCCACCCAGTAGAGGTGCGATGTAATTATCTATAAAACATGTATTGTTAGATTTCACCCGTGCGTATCACTTAGTCTTATTATCTGATATCAAGGCATTTACACAGTAAAGACAACACTGTTGCACATTGATTCAATTTTATTAACGGTTCAACATTTTACTATCGGTACAGACAACTTATTTAGATTCAGAGGGATTTAAATATACTGCAGTAAATACTACTCTGTACTCTACTCAAAACCTACCTATTCATGAACGAACACCTGCCAAAGGGCTTCTTTTTTTATATGAATGTTTTTGATACGACTTGAAATCACTTGAATAAATTATTCGAGTATAGACTCAGATGTATTTCAAAAATATTTAATAAAAAAAAAATAAGAAAGAAAACAAGAGAAAGAAAGAAGAAAATTTATCTGAATGCGTAACATTGTAAATCGTACAACATTTTGTCTTCTAATTGGGATCAGTACAGTGTTTTGTTCTAATTAATCGGGTTCAGAATCGACACAATACGCAAGGAAAATACTTGCAGTGCTGCAAAAAGCTTTTGTATAATTTTTTTTCCTTTCTGCGAATTTGCTGCAAGTTGAACAAATCGCGACCTTTTCCGACCGCAATTTTAACCTGTTGTACAGAAAACATAACTCATTTGGCCCAAGAACACAGTCAATGAATGTTTTGTTATACTTTTTTATTTATTTATTTATTTATTTATTTATTGGCATACATGTATCTTGTGCTGGCTTCCTTGATGTAAATTTCCTTTTACCACCAGTGCAGTTAAATTCATTATTGTCAAACACCAATGAATGCCTATGAGATTTAGCTGATCCCATCCAAAGTGTGACATAAGTGGTCCATTATCTTTCTGACAGGTCCAATATCTCTCTCCACGGTCAAACATATATTTAAACAAAAGAATGCTTTCTTTGGTTGTTAGTATGGGAATTAATGTTGCAGCTGTTGCAGAAAAAATACATAACCCGCGTTTGCAGGTTATGTGAATTTTGTCTGCAATAGCAGAATTATCTTGCTGTATTATCCATTTAAATTTCTAGAGTGACATAGAAAGTGGTAATTAAGATTTAAGCATACTGTTAACCAACTATTATTTGCATCAACTTTTATCAGCAATTTGTCAGTTTGAAATCAATCCGCGACAATTAATTTTCACGATTGAGGAAACATTCTCTACAAATACAAAGCAAAATAAATGGTTCCCGGTGATTAATATTCATGAGCTAAAGTAGGTCGCGAAAGTCGTGAATATTTCTCGCACGAGAATAAAAGTTGGTTTACAGTATTGATTTAAGCATATTGTCTTAAAACATGTGCCATGCATTAATTGGAAGAAATAATTCAAGTTATTCACGTATTCAATAGAAATGTTTCCTTTACAGAAACAAACTTTGGATAGACTTCTTAAAAAGCAAGAGACAAAGTCCAAGGGTCCAAAGGTATGAAATGCTAATTCCACCTTATACACAAGTATTTTCATCTAGTATATTTTGGTAACCTAAGATAATTAAGTGACTTACTGCTATCCATTTTCACCTAGTGTGAGTAATCTGTCAACAATAACATTTTTACTTTTTCAATTTACTATTACTCTTGGGCCAGTATCATCCCAAGTTGCCACACTGAATCTCTTTGTGAAGAAAATAAAAATTTCTTCATGGCCATGCCCCTCTTCATTGATAGAAGATTTAAGAAAAGATAGTGTCATTAAAAAAAATCTCCTAAAGAACATAGTTAGAATTAAGAAATCTTATGTGGAAGCTTCCCTTTATACAAATGTACTGTAAACATGAAAAAATTATTCACTCAAAATTTAGTGCAATTTTTTCTCTTTCATTGATTAGCATATTCATAATTTAGTGCACTTAATTCTCAAAAACTATAGATGTTTTTTTGATAATATATTTACAATTAGCATGAACATGAATTAGGCAATGAGGCATGGCACAAAAGATGCCAAATTATGATTACTGCTAAAATGAATATGTTTACAGTCAGCATACAGTACATGTAATGAAAATTAAAAGCTGTTCAAACCATGTCCCCTAGGATAGGACCACAGATGAGATTTCAGTTAAATTAAAAATCTGGTATGTACATGTATAGGGAAGTCTAAGAAAAAATGTTTAAAAAACTACATTATAAAAAATGTATCAAATTTATGCACATACATGTGCATCTTCTTCTTGTTCATTTTCTTCTTTGTGCAAACTGGTCACGGTATCCTAGTGGTAGGGCGCTTGCTTTGTGATCGGGAGGCCCAGGTTGATTCTCGTTCATCACGCCACGTCAAACCTAAGACATAAACATGGGTAGTAACTGTTCCTTTGCCAAGCACCTGGCACTAGAAGCGAAAGTCACGGGTATCTTGGATGAGACCTTAGAAACCAAGGTCGTGTGTCATGGTAGGCGTTGGCACGATAAAGAACCCTCACTGCTCAATGGCCCTGAGTGCCAAGTATAGGTCCAAAATTGAAGCCCTTCACCGGCATACGGCTATTGTTATGAGTAAAAAATTCTCAAATGGATAGTTAAACAACATAAAATCAGTCTTCTTATGCAGATTTTGGATGTCCTTTTAATTTATTTTTTTTAAAGCACTGTAGATGACCACAAATTTTAAATTTTATTTGCACAGAAATATGTAGTAAAAATGGTAATAAAACAGCAGTGTAATGGAAATCACAATAGTGTCCATAATGTTTTAATAATATTACTTTCAGTAATGCATATTATACGAGGGGTGATCAAAAAGTTCCCGAACTAATTGAATTACTTCCTTAAAAGAAGTAAAATGAGGTTTCAGTGTTCATTATTTTTTATTATTATTATTAGTAGTAGTCCTCTCTTGTTTAAATGCACATTTGCCATTGTTCTGCCCATGCGCGAATCACGTGATTCAGGCGGTCACGTGACATGCTCCGAAGCTGTCTGTTCACAGAGGCTATGAGATTTTTCCGAGTCTTATATTTCTTACCATGCAAGTTATTTTTTATAACAAGAACAGGCTATCTGTCAGAAATGGCCAAATTTCAGCAATAGGATGGGTGGATAAGGATATCCCTTCCCAGAATAAGCATGGTGACCATCACAACCCGAGTCCTCTGTCTTGGGAGCGTGGTTTATCCAATGTGGAAAGAGTATTGGCACCTTCTTTTTTTTTTTTATATCTCATATGTTTAAAATCTAAAACAAACCATATTTTAGGAATTTGATAATTATATTATTGTTCAGATATTCAACTATTTCTCTAATTGTAACTTGGCGATCTTTCAAAACAAATTACTCAACTAAGGACACATCTTTTTACCGGTTTGCCTTCGCTGGGCAACAGAACAAACATCATTTTTAACCATCTCCTTGCCCTTACGAAAACAATAAATCCAATTAATGATTGAACTTCTGGTAAGTCTATTGTCTTCATAAACCTTGTACAAATTATCATATTCTACTGCAAAGAAATTTTCGAGATATACATGAAACTTTACAGCTCTTCGTTGCTCGAGTATGACTGAGTCAACCATTTTTCGTCACAAGTCACCTACTTATTGACGTCATTTTCACATTGTGACGTCACAAACACGGAGCAAAACATTATATAACATCTGCTATTTATAGAACATGTTAATGTCTATATGTGTGCCAAATTTCATTCTGACCTGAATTGTGGTTTTGTAAATGTAGAGATAGTTCGCGAAGTTTTTGATCACCCCTTGTAGTTGTAAGAAATTTAATTACTGTAGATTCCTTATTTTTTGCGAGTACTTATTATCGCAAAATAACTCTTTAACGTCAAATCGCAAGAACAATAATATACGAGTGGATGGTTAATCAAGAGATTTTAGATGGATTTTAGCACCATAAAAATAAAAGCAAGTAATTTTATTTTGTGAATGGTGTTTACACATTTTTAGGTCACCTGAGTTTACTTATGTGACCTATTGCTATCTGTTTTCGTCTGTCTGCATTAGTCGTCCGTCTTGCATTAACATTTGAACATTTTCACTTCTTCTCTGGAACCACTGAACCAATTTCAACCAATTTAGACATATAGCATCTATATGTGAAGGGGAGTAAAAAGTGTGCAATTCATGACCCCTACCCCCTGGGGCCTGAGGGGTGGGGCTAAAACCATCAGAATTAATGCAATCTTTAAAAAATCTTCTTTACTCCTGGACGTAAAGCAGGCAAGCTGTTGGCATGAATGTAATAAGCATTGAGTCCTCTACCTAAATTATGAAATTCATGGCCCCAGGGTCAGGGGTTCTGGTGCTAGGACAGGGTTCTGTTGAATATATAGTGATAATGCATTATATCTTTAAAAAGCATCTTCTCTGCTCCTGGATATTATGCAAACAAAATAAATGCATAGTTATGATGATGAAAGGTGCCTCTTCCAAAATTGTGAATTTCATGGCCCCAGGGTCAGGGGTTCTGGTGTTAAGGCAGGGCTCTGTTGAATATATAGTGAAAATGCATTATTTCTTTTAAAATCTTCTCTGATCCAGGGCAAACAAACTGAATGCATAGTTATGATGAGTAAGGATGCCTCTTCCTATACTGTGAATTTCATGGCCCCTGGTCAGGGGTTCTGGTGTTAGGGCTAGGCTTTAATGATTACATAGTAAAAATGCAATAATTCTTTGACAATCTTCTCCTTTTCTCCTTGGTATTAAGCCAATGAACTAAGAGTATAGTTATAATATGTAAGGGTGCCTCTTCCAAAATTGTGAAATTCATGGCCCCAGGGTCAGGGGTTCTGGTGTTAAGGTGGGGATCTGTTGAATATATGGTGAAAATGCATTATTTTTTAAAAAAATCTTCTTCTTTGATCCTGGGTATCAATCAAACAAACTGAATGCATAGTTATGTGGGTAAGGGTGCCTTTTCTAAAATTGTTAATTTCATGGCCCCTGGGTCAGGGGTTCTGGTGTAAGGGTGGGGCTCTAATGATTACATAGTAAAAATTCTTTAAAAATCTCCTTTTCTCCTGGGTATTAAGCCGATGAACTAAGAACATTGTGATGATATGTAAGGGTGTCTCTTCCAAAATTGTGAAATTCATGGCCCCAGGGTCAGGGTTTATTGTGTTAGGGTGGGGTTCTGTTGAATATATGGTGAAAATGCATTATTTCTTTAAACATCTTCTTTGATCCTGGGTATTTAGTAAACAAACTGAATGCATAGTTATGATGAGTAAGGGTGCCTTTTCCAAAATTGTTAATTTCATGGCCCCTGGGTCAGGGGTTCTGGTGTTAGGGTGGGGCTCTAATGATTACATATTAAAAATGCAAAAATTCTTTGAAAATCTCCTTTTCTCATGGGTATTCAGCCGATGAACTAAGAGTATAGTTATATGTAAGGGTGCCTCTTCCAAAATTGTGAATTTTATGGCCCCAGGGTCAGGGTTCTAGTGTTAGGGCAGGGCTTTAATGATTCCATAGTGAAAATGCATTAATTCTTTGATAATCCTCTGCTCTCTTTCTGGGTATTAAGTAAGCTTACTAAATGTAAAGTTATGATGAGCAAGTGTTACTCTTTTGAAATTGTGAATTTCATGGCCTCTGGTTTAAAATGTGAACCCAATTTAATTGTGGCAAAGTTGTTGCATGATACTCAGTTGACCTATAAGGCACTGGGCCTCTTGTTGAAAAGTATTTTGTGTTGTTGTAATTAAAGACAATACATTTATATACTTATTACATATACAGTTGAATTTTGGTATCTCAAACAAGGATATCTCAAATACCATGAATATGTTGAAGTGATTTTGAAGTCCCAATTGCTTATTCCTTAAGTATTTTACTCAGGATATCTTGAATCCTCGGTTATCTCGAAGTATTTTCTCAGTCCCTTTGAGTTTGAGATAATGAGGTTTGACTATATCTACCATGTAAAAGGTACATCTTTTAATTTGTACACTTCATTAATCTGGATGATTTGTTCTGGAACAAGGATCTTGATTAATGGATTAACAAGGCTTGCTTGTTTTGCATCTGGCATCTGTGTATTGGTCTTTTGAAAAGCAGAAAAAGTGTTAAAATTATAGTCCTACCTCAAATAGATGGTGTAGATAAAAAATGACATAATGAAATGATTTTAAAATGTAGGTCAAAGGCCAAGTTCAAGGGTCCTAGGTATAAAGTCAGGTATTTCACAAAAACATTAAGCCAAGCAATGCATCTGCAAAATGTATAATCCCTACTCTTACTGTTTTAATCGAGTAAATTGTGACAGCTTGGTGATCTTTGCAGGCAGCAGAAAAAAAATTCTTAATTATATAAATTCAAATTTGTTTTTGCCCTTTATATATGTTATTAAGGGCTTCCAGTTTTTCAAATCTGACTGTTAAAGTCATTGATCTCTTGTATACAAGTATGCAGTTAAGGAAATTCAAGAGTAGGTTATGTTATTTTCTTTTCATATACCGGTATATTGAAAAAATATTTAAATAAGTACAAAGTACTGTCAGCCACAGAAAAACTAAAGAGGAAAATCTGATGAAATTTGTGATTGTTATTTGTACTTACAATGTAAGTGAAAAAAAAATCAGTCAATGACAACCTAAAGCATCATATTTAAATACATATATCAAATAGGATTATGAAGTGAAAATTTAATATTAAACTCAACAAAAATTTTTTTGTTATTGAAGGTCAAAGGTTCAAGGAGAAGCAATATTCCCAGGGTCCGCTACATCAACAACAGATCTGAGATCTCCATAAGTGTTCCTGTGGGAATACAGTTCCCATTTCTCCCTCAGAAAGCAGAGTGAGTTAAAGTTTTCCGTCAGGTTTTTGGTAGACAGAAGAATGAAATCTCCATAAATGTGTCAGTAAGGTCTCAATTTTCCTGTAATATCCCTATTGCATATTCTTGCTGGATATATTAAGAGTAAAATCTCTAGAGCTGAAACCAAATCCATAAATCAATATTCAAATATTCGGGACTACTATTCGATTCGTATTCAAATATTCGTCGATGTTATATTTTAAGTATATTTTTCTAAAATATTATAATACCTATACCATTTGCAGACCAAAGAAAAATTGTATACGTATATAAAAATAGAATTGATAACAATATAGTTAATTGACATTAATCTGCCCATTGTTAAAGCTTCTGCTCAAAGGAAATGGAAGAGACGATATTTTTTCGGTGATGCTGATTTTGCCCTATTTAGTCAGCCCAAGCAGTAAAGACTTTTTTTATCACGCAAGGTTAGGTTGGTCAGAAAAATGTGTAAATTTACAAACTGAAATAGGAAACTGTTTTTACATGCTAAAATTTATAAAAATCTATGCATGGAAATTACAGAAAAGTCAGTTTGATAGTAAGAATGACATATACTGTAGAAAAAGTCGAAGTGCAAAAGTCCACGTGCGTTATCTGGTATTCACATTATGCATTACTGAACATGCTTGTAACATTTTAAGAGGTCAATCTGTAAATAAACTTGTTTCAAAAAATTAAGTCAGTAATTAGTTTTTAGGAATATTTCTTTTTAAAAGAAATGAAATGGCGGGGCCATGCAAACAATCAGGGATGAAATTGGTATAGGCATGAATTACACTCAATATGAAAATAAAATATCATGAGCATATATTCAAAAGGATTTACACTGAGAGAAATTATGTGCATTCTTTGTTTAAATTTTTCTAATCATATTTACGGTACTTTCTAACACTAATAAAATCCCGAGGGTAGTCAAAAGCTCAAGTGGAGCATCATCTTCACAATGTCAAGGTTTTGTGATTTCGGAACTCCACACAAACCCTGGGTTTGTGTGGAGTTCCGAAATCACAAAACCTTGACATTGTGAGGATGATGGAGCATCGAAAAAATAAAGTAGTGCTAAATCCTTATTAATACTATAAGTTTTTATCGTTTAAGTACCAATATAATTTAATCAACAAAGTAAACATTGAAGTATAAATCATGTTACCGAATATTTGAATGCTAAATTTCCATTCGAATATTCGCCATTTACTATTCATTCCCAAATATTCGAACATTCGTTTAAGCTCTAAAAATCTCTATCAATATTTCTTTAATATCCCTGTTGGTGTTTCTGCAGGGTAAATAAAAAGTAAGATCTCTTATTCTCTATCAGTATTTCCATATTGAATAGTGAATTTCTTTAGCGGGTGTGAAATTTGGTGGAACTTTTTTTTGGCATATACAGAGTTCAAGACAATGCAAACAAGAGGAAGCTCACCTTCTAGATGATGGTTCAGTATGTTTAATATACATTTGAATACCGATTTACGCAAGAGTTTTCATAAAAACCAATACCATATGAAAGATTAATGTTTTATTACAGACTAATCAAAGTTATTTTTATGTGTTCAGTACACATGTATGCAAGGATGCAAAGTTAACAATTAAAATTTTAGTGGGCTACCATCAAACTGATAAAATAAGCCATAAGTAGCACTCTGCTAAAATTTTCCACTATAGAGTAAGTTAAAAGTAAGATTTCTGTCAACATTTCCAAAAAGATACCTATTGGCTTTCTCTGTCAATGTTCCTGTAAGTAGTCCTTTCATGAAATGACAAAAAGTGAAGATAACGAACAGTGATGGATCTCAAAAAAAAAATCTATAAACAACACTACTGGAAGTAACTATTGTTTATTGATAATACATCATAGATATATCTAAATGTCGAGTTGAAGGCCACAGCAAGTGTTTTCCTCTTGTAGAAGATTTTGAATAAACTCTGCTTCATAAGAATGTAAAACAGGACGGCTAATAAAGGAGCACAATTAGTGCCCATTCAAATTCCAGCAATTTGTTTGAAGACCTGGTCCTGAAGACTTCATAAATATTGTCAAAGAGGAACTCCAGCATCCTATTAATATCAGCTTCAGAGTACTTGTGTGTAGAGCAGAGTGATTTTTAACAAAGTAATTTTGTTGATGACCAGTTACAAGATACAACTAGAAATATGTCCATAGGACATGAATGTCCCGCCAAGGGTTTATTAGTAATGCAACATTTTAACACAAATTGAGAAAAGTGAAGTCAAGGTCAAAGGAAAAGTCAAGGTGAAAAGATATTGAATTATTGATGCAGTGGAATAGCTTACATCAGTATGTATCAGCATATGAAGTTTGACACTAATTTAAGAAAAGTGAGGTCAAAAAGTCAAAGGAAAGGTCAAGGTAAAAAATTGTTGACGCAGTTGAAAAGGTTACAACAGTATGTATTAATATATGAAGTTTGATAAAAATATTATGAACTAGATGAAATCCCGCGCAAGCGCGGGGAATTGAATTTTTACCAATGCTAACGAAATAATTCAAAAAATATATTTTAAAGTTTCTACTGACAATTAATTACAGGCTTACAGCAGGTAGAAATACCACTCTGTTCAAAATCCCGCAGTTAGCTTAGGAGCAGTTTTAAGTAGATATACGCCCCCCCCCCCCCTTTTTATATTTTTTTTAAACTTGAAAATATCAATTTCATTAATTGCTGTTTTTTCTTTACATGTTAACAACTTTATATTGATAAACTTTTGTATTTTTTTCTACATATTGTACTTTGGGTGCTTTGACTCTATAAAAGAAGTGAATGTGCATATATTACTGAATTTGTCAGTACATTTTTTTTCTGTAAGGGGGGGGGGGGGGGATGAAAATTATTTTATCACACCTTAGGGATGGTCTAATATTTAATACAAAATACTGTATGCAGAAAAACCCACTGAAATATAATTAATAAAGAACAAAATTTAACCTCATTTGTGAAAAATATTACTATATAAAAATTGTACTCGGGTTTGTTGCCATGGTGCTCATTTTTACTGGTATATGTATTAGCACAAACTTATATTACTAATAGTCTTTCAATATATAAATATATTTACAACTTTTGTGTTATCAATTGCAATTGTTTACCATTATTTCCATGCCCATTCACATCAAAGTATATTCATATAGTGATTATCTCCTCGTTTTTCCTTTTAACATCGGGTTCGATGCCATCTGACGTTCTAGAAATTTCCGACAAAAGTATGATCAGGGACTGACGAAAATGATTTGCACATTTTGTTTTTTAATCAGTTATCACAACTTATTTCTTCTGTAGCACTTAAATCAAGTTTTGATTAAATAATTCATTCATGACGTTTTATCAAATAATTAAACGATTACTTGTTGTTAGTTACATCAAAAATTGCCAGTATCTTAGATCCGCCAACCGGAACCACCACCATACTCTCTTTTTTACTATTTCACGGCTGTTTATCGAAAATGAAAGTAGACTTTTAATTAAATTAATGATAATTACTATGGGAGTAAAATCAAAATATAGTTTACGGACATCAACTCATATCTAGTGTAATATTAGAGGAGTAAGTATGAACCCTGGTGCGGGCGTTTTTGGAGTTTATTGGCAAAATTTATTAATTTATAAGTATAGATGGTTTCATTAAAACTGAGCTAAACACTAATTTAAGAAAAGTGAGGTCAAGTCAAAGAAAAGGTCAAGGTCAAAAATATTGATGCAGTTGAATAGCTCTCATCAGTATGTATCAGCATATGAAGTTTGACACTAATTTAAGAAAAGTGAGGTCAAAGGAAAAGTCAAGGTCAAAAATGTTGATGCAGTTGAATAGCTCTCATCAGTATGTATCAGCATATGAAGTTTGTTAAAAATATCTTGAATGGTTTCATTAAAACTGAGCTAAACATTAATTTAAGAAAAGTGAGGTCAAGGTCAAAGGAAAGGTCAAGGTCAAAAAATGTTGATGCATTTGAATAGCTTACATCAGTATGTATTAACATATGAAGTTTGATTACACTATCTTGAATGGTATTTTTAAAACTGAGGTAAACACTAATTTAAGAAAAGTGAGGTCAAGGTCAAAGGAAAGGTCAAGGTAAAAAAAAAAGTTAATGCAGTTGAATAGCTTTCATCAGTATGTATCAACATATGAAGTTTGATTACACTATCTTGAATGGTATCTTTAAAACTGAGCTAAACACTAATTTAAGAAAAGTGAGGTCAAGGTCAAAGGAAAGTTCAAGGTCAAAAAATGTTGATGCAGTTGCATAGCTCTCATCAATATCTATCAGCATATGAAGTTTGATAAAAATATCTTGGATAGTTTCTTTGAAACTGGGCTTTGAACAGAGCTAAACGCAAAGTGTGACGGAAGGACAGACGAAGGACGGAAGGACAGAAGGACGGAAGATGGACATGACAAACACTATATGCCACGGCCATATTCATGGTGGGGCATAAAAATTTCCAACTTCCATTTTTGAGTTGGCTCACGGAGCGAGCTAATCCTTGCTATCACAGCTGTTAAAATCATCACTCATTCATCAAGGTGATTCATATGCCAAATATGATAGTTCTAGCCAAAAATGCTTTTGTTTGAGTGATTGCATAAACTTAGTAGGTATAAACAGTATAAATTTTCATATTGTAACATTATTTATGTCTTAATGCTTTTTAAAGAAAAATTCAATTAAATATCCATTCAATGTACAGTTACTGTGTATGAATATTTGTGCAAGCATGTTAGGCGGATCTAATCTTCCCATCTGAAGTTTATTTATCATTGACCTACATTACTCCCTAACACACACCTGCTGGTTTCATTTACTGCAGCTAGTGTGATTGAAAAAATTATTTTCAGAATCCAGGTTTGCAGTGTGAACCATCTACCTAATGATAAATAGGCCAACAATGTAGAATTTTGTAACATAATCATGGTGACGTTATTTACAGGTACTCGAGTCTTGGTTTATGCATTATGCATTTAATAGTATGCATTTTTATATGCATGTAGTTCATTGATATGTAAAACAAATTTCGATAAATTTAAGTGTGTGTTTTTTATGCCCTGCCATGAATATGGCTGGGGCATATAGTGTTTGTCATGTCCGTCTTCCATCCTTCTGTCCTTCCGTCTGTCCCTCCATCACACTTTGTGTTTAGCTCTGTTCAAAGCTCAGTTTCAAAGAAACTATCCAAGATATTTTTATCAAACTTCATATGCTGATAGATATTGATGAGAGCTATGCAACTGCATCAGCATTTTTTGACCTTGACCTTTCTTTTGACCTTGACCTCACTTTTCTTAAATTAGTGTTTAGCTCAGTTTTAATGAAACCATTTAAGATATTTTTAACAAACTTCATATGGTGATACATACTGATGTAAGCTATTCAACTGCATCAATATTTTTTACCTTGACCTTTCCTTTGACCTTGACCTCACTTTTCTTAAATAAGTTTTTAGCTCAGTTTTAAAGATACCATTCAAGATAGTGCTATCAAACTTCATATGCTGATACATACTGATGAGAGCTATTCAACTGCATCAATATTTTTTGACGGTGACCTTTCCTTTGACCTTGACCTCACTTTTCTTAAATTAGTGTTTAGCTCAGTTTTAATGAAACCATTTAAGATATTTTTAACAAACTTCTCATGGTGATACATACTGATGTAAGCTATTCAACTGCATCAATATTTTTTATCTTGACCTTTCCTTTGACCTTGACCTCACTTTTCTTAAATAAGTTTTTAGCTCAGTTTTAAAGATACCATTCAAGATAGTGCTATCAAACTTCATATGCTGATACATACTGATGAGAGCTATTCAACTGCATCAATATTTTTTGACGGTGACCTTTCCTTTGACCTTGACCTCACTTTTCTTAAATTAGTGTTTAGCTCAGTTTAAATGAAACCATTTAAGATATTTTTAACAAACTTCATATGGTGATACATACTGATGTAAGCTATTCAACTGCATTAATATTTTTTATCTTGACCTTTCCTTTGACCTTGACCTCACTTTTCTTAAATAAGTTTTAAGCTCAGTTTTAAAGATACCATTCAAGATAGTGCTATCAAACTTCATATGCTGATACATACTGTTGAGAGCTATTCAACTGCATCAACTTTTTTTGACCTTGACCTTTCCTTTGACCTTGACCTCACTTTTCTTAAATTAGTGTCAAACTTCATATGCTGATACATACTGATGAGAGCTATTCAACTGCATCAATTTTGACTTTGACTTTTCTTTTGACCTTGACCTCACTTTTCTTAAATTAGTGTTTAGCTCAGTTTTAAGGAAACCATTCATAATATTTTTATCAAACTTCATATGCTAATACATACTGATGTAACCTTTTCAACTGCGTCAACAATTTTTGACCTTGACCTTTCCTTTGACCTTACCTTGACCTCACTTTTCTTAAATTAGTGTCAAACTTCATATGCTGATACATACTGATGTAAGCTATTCAACTGCATCAATATTTTTTTTTACCTTGACCTTTCCTTTGACCTTGACCTCACTTTTCTCAATTTGTGTTAAAATGTTGCATTACTAATATATCCTCGATGGGGCATTCATGTCCTATGGACATATTTCTAGTTCTTTTCAAATATCTGAATATAAGTTACTTAATATAAACATAATCATAATGCTTAGATTAACTTAAAATTGTGTGAATACACGTATATAGTTAGTCGGATCTTGAAAAATTTTCCCATTGATATCTAATGTTTGTTTTCCATTACTGGAGGTTCCCTTGTTTCTTAGTGTTTGTAGCTAGCTTACGTTTAAATGTTTGATTTTTTTCACTGTTATTTTTTCTCGCTTTTTAACATGATTTTTCCTTTTCCCCTTGTTTCTTTTTTTAAGTTTTCACTTTATTGTAGTTTTTTGTTTCTTAGTGGAACACTAAGATCTGGTCAGATTTATGATAATTATAATTAAAAAATACTTAAGTGAAGTCTTTTTAAGAATTCAGTTGACTTGAAAAGGTGGGAGATAGACCATTAACTTTTTACTTTTGGAGGTGTGGGGAAAATTGAGACCCTTTCAAATTTAAACAGATGTATTTGGATCCTGATTCAAAATGTTGAAATTTTTGTCACATTATGTAAACTTAATTGTGTATTAACAAACTTAGACTTTGAATAAATAAATAAAATCTCATGTGAGATGGCATTGAAGTCCTTAATTTTTTAAACTGAACATGGAGACCTGATATTCAATCTCTTTAGATGCAATATAAACTGAATATGAGGTATAATGTCCAGTTGTATGACAAAGCTCAATTAATTCGATCGAGTCGACTCTCAGGCCCTTCAGGCCTTTGATTATTGAAGAAGCAGTTTGCTGGACCTAGCAATGTATCTCTGTTTGTAAGAATTTTTATGAATCCACTATAGGTAGGGTAGATAGAACTCACCTTTGTTGACTAGAATGTTAAAAGTATTGAACACTGAAAAGTGATTTTGAAGAATTTCATCTTTAGAAAGTGAGCTGTGAGTATAAGTTGGATTTCCAGACATAGAATTAAAACCAAGTTCTAAAATACAGTGATAATAATGAGCCTTACAAACAAAGATGATATTGTTACAAGTCTTGTCCGCTGGAACCATAACATATTGTTCATGCAGTCTTTCTAATTCTTTTATCACCTCAGATTTAGTGAAAGCGGGAGGATAGTCTGTTCATGATATGCAGACTATCAATAAATCTAATACAGAGTGAATCTAATATTTTGTTACAATGTTTATTATTTTTTTATTTTATTTTAAGTTTCTAATTTTTTTGAGTAAATATAAAAACCATATAAAAATCTACAATAGTTATGAAGTTTATAAAATCATCATGAACTTTATTGATTTGACCCTGTCTTTCAGTACTGTTTCAGTACTTTGATTTTTATTTATAATCTTTAGGACTTTCCGTATGACTGATATTTGCTGATATTTAGACTATGATTTTCTTTGTAGGCCTCCCAAGCCACCTGCAGTGTGTGGAGTCAATGGATGTAAAAACCTGAAGAGGTATTCTTGTTCCAAGACAGGAATTCCTTTGTGTAGTTTGGACTGCTATAAAAAGAACATGATTCTCAAATATACAAAGTTACCCATTCCTGCAACATGACACACTATCTTCTGTGACAAGTGAATGATCTTCATTATTTGAAGTTGATAAATTGTATTCTGTATGATGAAGGCAGTTGAATGGTGGATTTAATTGAGACCTATCAGTTTCAGTGACCTTACCTTCTTTGTCTCATTTTGAATACTACAGTAGTAGCTATGACCTGTTTTATTTTCAAATATGTGACGGAAAATTGTTGGAATGGTACATGAATGTTTCATGTAAAATATGTGTATATGCTGAAAATCTTATAATGAAATATACATGTAGAATGCAAAGTTGAATCCAAATTCCTGATTATCATTTGCTAGATGGATTATATGCATTTTCAATACTCTAGGAATACCAAAAAGTATATTTTTGGCTCAATTCATTTAAAAACAACTTCCCTATTAAATTATTGTAAAAATATAATGATTGTACATTTAAATTAATTTACAATTTTTTCCCCTTGCAATATTCTTTTGCGTTATTTAACTTTAAATTCCAACGTCATAATGGTTCTTACATCTATATTAAACACACCAGTTCTGAAAGGTGCTAAATTCATAAAAATCAACAAAATCAACAATTATGAAGAGAGAAAATAAAAGAATGTAAATATAAGCAAATAAGAGAATGTAAATATAAGCATTGAATTCTTATTTTTGGAAGTCGTCAGTCCTATAACAACACCTGGCCATGCTGACAAATTGAATACCGCGGGTTACTGTGCTTATGCACGATATTCAATTTGTTGGCACGGCCAGTTGGTGTTATACAGTGTAGGACCGACAACATCCAAAAATAAGAATTCAATGCTTAAATGTAGGTTTTTTTTTAAAAAAAACAGAGATGAACACTTTTGTACAGTAAATATAATTTCATTTTTACAGAGACCTTGGATTCTGTTTGTTATTATGAGGTTATATTTTGTGTAAAGGATGGAAACTCTTGATTACACTGCAGTTAATCACGTGGGATGTATTGGCTAAATAACAACTGCATGCAACAGTTGTAATGATTTATGAGTTTGTTTTAGGAATAGAGCACTGCTCTTTTTAAAGTTGATATGCAGCAATATCCAATAAGAACTTAAAATGAAAGGTTATATGCAGAATACGCAGGTTATTTCTACACGTAAGCAAATATTAAAATGTAATAATATAGAAATAAGCTGACAAGAAAAGTTGTATGTACATAAATCATGAGAATGACATTTGCAATGAATACCACCATCGAATATTTACAGGAGGGGGGGGGGGGGTCTGGTATTAAGGCGGGTCTCTAATGATTATATAGTGAAAAATCTTCTCCTCTGCTCCTGGGTATTAATCCGATGAACTAAGTACATGGCTAATGAGCAAGGATGCCGCTTCCAAATTGTGAATTTCATGGCTCAGGGGTTCTGGTGTTAGGGCGGGGCTCTAATGATTATAAAATGGAAATGCATTAATGCTTTGAAAATCTTCTCTGCTCCTGTATAAATAGAGTAAAAGTTTTAATAAGCAAGGGTATTTTTACCAGATTTTTGAATATCTGGACCATTTGGTCAATAGTTTTCAGGAAACAAGACGAAATTCAGAGTAGATGTTAATATTATAAGTCTCTACATGTAATAGAAATGAATGCGAGGAGTGTTATGGTCCTGGCCAGGGCTCTATTAATTTGTATTCTACTGAGAAAAGTTATTCCCCTTTGCCATTCACTTTTGATAATTAATCAATGTAAATAATGAATTTGAAATGTTAATAGAATAAGAGAATTATGCAAGAATTTTCATTGTATAATACAAAAAGTACTTTCATAGTTTAATGATCAGTTAGACTTGTAAATAATAGATAAATAAAAATTAGACAAAAATAAAATCTTATTAAATTTTTTTCAAAGACCAAGAGAGGCCAATGTTAAAGGTTTTAATATTGGGTTAAAAATAGTACAGAAGCACTAATAGTTTGTTAATAGTCTCCATGGTGATAAAGAGGGGGAGGGGGGAAGATTAGAACTTAATTTATGAGTTGTTACTGACACTAAATTGTTTCATCTATCAGTTTATTTTATACTCTATTGATCCTCTTAATTGGTTTATTATACTCAGGTGACTGTTAAGGTCCTTGGGGCTCTTGTATTATATTTTTGGCGGACTAGTATTGTTTGTTTGCTTGTTCATAATATAATTGTAAAATCATTTAGCTTTTGCTATTTTCTGAGCATTTAACATACAATTATAATTGAAACATAAAATAAGTGTGCTGTATAAAAATTTATTAAAAGCGTAAACATGTAGTAATATATGAATTAATTAATCTACACCACTGACATAGCAAGTTATACAATAAAAAAGTAAGCATTTCAATTTTGTTAGTCAAAGCTTTTCTGACTTTCACACACATACATAACAGGCAAAAAATAAAAAGTAAAAATAAATGAAAATAAATAAATTCCTAATAAAAAAAGATGGTCCCAAGTCAATTGTATTTTACTAAACCCTAAAAACTGTTGAACTTACTAATATGTTAATACCATGACAAGTATTATGCATGTGAATTTAACATGTACCTAACATGGACCTGGTAGACCCATCTTCCTTAAAAATGTACTGGTTTAACATTATCATAGAGCTGACAATTTTCTGTTGTTGTTTTGAACAAATAATATTGACAATAATCATGATAATGTGTTGATGAGATTGGACACAAGTTTCATTTTAATTTGTCATATCTTGTTCAATTTATATCAGCTTACTGAGCTTAAACTACATTGTAATTCATTGTAGATGTTGCAATTTGCTCAAAAAGACAAAATATTTATCAATATACAAGTGATATAGCATACATACATAGTAAGCCAACTTAAAGTTCTTTATTATAACATAATAATGCACAAAAACACTTAATTTTCTCTCACTGATTACTAGTAGTACGTTACCCACCGGTATCCCCACACTGCAGGTGACCCGCAGGATATTTCAGCGGAATTTCTAAAGGTGTAAATGGATATTTTATTATACACATTTTAGTGAAAGAAAAAAATGGTTATTTTTCACTGGAAAAATATTGTTATTCTTTCAGATGTTGATTATTAACTTAATTAAAACGAACAGACTGAACTATATCATGTTTTAGTGCTGACTTGATCACTTTTTTAGCTCTCCTGAGCCAAAAGCTCAAGTGAGTTTCTTCTGATCGCTCGTTGTTCAACAGAAGGACCAAACCCGCTTTTGAGGGGAGATAATCTAGAAAAAGCAAAAATTGGATGGGGTCATTAAAAGAAATCTTCTCAAGAGCCACTGGGCCAGGAAAGATGAAACTTATGTGGAGGATTGGTGAGGAAGTGTATATTCTAAATTGTCCAAATCATGACCCCCGGGGTTAGGGTGGGGACACATTAGAGGGTGAAAGTTTTTCATTAAAATGGAGAAATTTTTTAAATCCTCCAACCCAAGAACCACTGGGCCAGAAAAGGTGAAACTTATGTGGAAGTTTCCTGAGGAAGTGTAGATTCTAAATTGTTAAAATCCTAACTCCAGGGGTTAGAGTGGTCCAAAATAGGGGAGAAAGTTTTACAATGAAATATATCAGAAATTTCTTTTTAAAATCTTCTTCTCAAGAACCACTGGTCTAGAAAAGGTAAAACTTATGTGGAAGCTTACTGAGGAAATGTAGATTCAAAATTGTTCATATTATAACCCCCACGGTTAGGGTTATATTAGTCACAATTAGGTATCAAACTTTTACATAAAACATATAAGGAAAAAAAAAATCAAAATCTTCTCAAAAACCACTGAAGTTGAAAAGATGAAACTTGTATGAAGGTCTCTGGGGTGAAGTGGGACCACAATAAGAGATCAAAGTTTTACATTGAAATATATGAGAAAAATCTTTAAAAATCTCCCTCTCAAGAACCGCTGGACTAGAAAAGATGAAACTTTTGTGAAAGCTTCCAGATATAATGTAGATTGTAAATTGTTCAAATCGTGCACCCTCGCGGTAGGTTGGGGCCACAATAATGAATCAAAGTTTTACATTTAAATATATTGGAAATTTTTTTTAAAATCTTCTCAAGAACCCTTTGACTAGAAGAGATGAAACTTATACGGAAGCTTCTAAACATTATGTACATTCTAATTCTTTCTATTCATGGACCGCGGGGTTAGGGTGGGCCACAATAAGGGATCCAAATTTTACCACTGGACCAGAAAAGATGAAATGTGAAGTCTGCCTGAGGTAGTGAAGATTTTAAACTGTATAAATCGGGGCCCCTAAAGGTAGCGTGGGGAATCAAAAATTCGCATGAAATTATATAAGGATTAAAAAAAATCTTCTAAAGAAACACAATATATCTATCAATTTGCAAAAATTGTCATGTGTGAATTTATTTTTTTTAGTTAAATTATGGACACGATTTGAGTTGGCTAAAATCATGATGAAAATTTACATAAAGCATGTATACCGGAAAAGAATTTTCTTCTCTATATCTGCAAGACCATGTTAGTCTTATTGATATTGAAGCATCCCTATGGTGTGCGGATTCAGAGATCCCTTAGAGTTTGTGACCATAATATGGGGTCGCAAATTTTCAAGGTAATATAAAAATCTTTAAATTTGAGTCTTCTGAAGAACAGCAGGGCTAAAGTAACTCTGGTGAGCGCTGTGGCCCATAGACCTCTTGTTACTAATTTCAATTGTGTTTATCCTGCTTAAAATCCTATGAGCTGGGGGGTAGCTAACGGGAGGTTTATAGAGGCCCGTAAGAAACAGGACGGGATGCATGTCCCCAAAATTATGACTATATATACTACCGGTATGCTAATTTTCAGTGGTGCTGATCGACTTTAGTGTAGTCCCCCCTTCCCCTACATGCCTGATATGTGATTTGACAATTCTCTCGAGAAAATTTAAATTCCACTTTTAAAATGTCCACAAATTTTTCTTTAACGTATCCGCTAAAATGTCTACAGCCGCCTCAGATAAGGTACTACAAGGAAAAACAGAATATACCCAGGCAATCATTCAGGTGTAAAAATCACAATGTTAACTTGGTGAAATAGAAATTTCAGAATGTTGACACAGCTAGCGTGAATAAATGTCACATAAATTAAAAAAAAGATAATCTAAACTTATCTTTTGTTATAGATACGCTGAAAACGACTCGTAAAAGGAAGAGATTTATCCTTGTCCGTCTTATTTTTCTTCGCTGGTTTTATTTTTTAACCCACTACTTTACGGTTCGAAGTATTTCGCTGTACAGATCTCACCTGTTTGGACGTACATGTTACTCAGTCGCAATAAAATTATCGAAGGAGTGAGAGAAAAAGTAACATCAATTGCACAGATCAATACGAGACGTATATTACAAACAAACACAAAATGCACCTAAAACATCGAAATAAAATGTAAACACTAAGACCACAGGTGCTTGTGGACAGGACCCCTCCCCCAATATACACCCTGGGTTCAAAGATATTTTTGTCTTCTTTCATAAATTTTTCTTCCAGCAGACATTTACAATGTATTCATATGGAAATTCCAAAAAATAACGTAGAATAAATGTTTTATTAAAAAAAAATACCCGCGGTATTAAAAGTATAAAATCATGACCGTCGGGGGATAGGTGGGCCACAATGGGCAATCAAAGTGTTTTACGTAGAATTACATAGGAAAAATCTCAAGAACAGCGAAGCCGTGATTATTCACATGCCCAGGTTGTTTAGATTCAAGTTTGTTAAAATCATGACCTCCCGAGAGTAGGGTGGGCGGGCCAGAATGTGCGATCAAATGTTTACATATAGGAATATAAAGAGAAAAGTATTTTTTCCCCTCAAGAACAACAAAGTCATTGTTAGTCATACGGAAGCATCCAAAGGTAGTGTAGATTCATTTTTTTTTCAAATCATGTCCCCTGAGATAGGGAATGACCTCAATGTGCGATCAAATGTTTACCAAGGAATACATAGCTAGGAAAAATCTTTATCTCAAGAACAGCAAAGCCCTGGTGAGTCAGTTTTATATGGAAACACCCGCAGGTAGGGTAGATTCAAATTTATTCAAATCATGACCTCTGGGGGTAGAGTGGGGTCACAATGTGTGATCAAGTTTTACAGAGGAATACATGTATATGGGGGAGGGGACCTGCTGATGAAGAACAGCAGAACCACACGTGCCTCGGGTGAACGTTGTGGCCCTTGGCCCCTTGTTACGAGTGGTGCTCACGCTTTTAAGATTTAAACCTTTAATGTAACATAAACCACACTAATACGAAGGGTGATCAGAAAGTTTGTGAACTAATTGAATAACTTCCATAAAAGAAATAAAATTAGGTTTCATTGTTTATCATTTTTAAAGTAGTCCCCTCCGATTTTAATGTACATCAGCCACCGTTCTTCCCATGCGCGAATCACGTGGTCCAGGCGGTTACGTGACATGCTCAATAGCATACTGTTCACAGAAGGTAAAAGATGTTTCCGAGTCTTAGATATTTCTTACCATGCAAGTTATTTTTTACAACAAGAATAGTCCATTTTTCGCAAATAGCCAAAATTCAGCAATAGGACGGGTGGATAAGGATATCCTTTCCCAGGGGTGCGTTCAACAACGTAGCTGCTACGTAGCCGCTGCGTAAAGCTACGATGTTGAAGGCAAAGCTAGCCTAGCCGCTACGTAGGGAGAGCTAGCATAAATATTTAATGCTAAGTCCTAAATCCAATATGGCCTCCTTAGTTACAACTTCGCAGCACACTAGATTTTAACTAAACGGGAAAATATTTTCTACATCTTATCGAATTAAATGTAAATTTACATATATATTTTCGCATGAAATAAACTTTTTTTGTTCCAAAAATAAGTCTTTACTGATATATTTTTATCTCAAATCTTAGACTTAGCTGCTAAGCTAGCTGTCCGTTCAATAAAGATAGATATCTACCACTTAGCTGCTAGATTAGCCGCTACGATCTTGAACGCAGCCCAGCAGTTACAGTATGAGAATAGTGACCATCACACCTCGACAACTCTGTCTTGAGTGTGTCATTTATCCAATGTGGATCAAGTATGGGTGCCTTTTCTTTATCATATCTAATACATGTATGTTTAAAGTCTAAAGTAAAGGATATTTTAGGGATTTAATAATTATTTTATTGTTAAGACATTCAACTATATTTCTAAGTGTAACTTGGCGATCTTTCATTACAAATTGCTAAACAAGGACACATCTCTTCCTCAGCTTACTTTCACTGGGCACCAGAACGAACATCATCTTTAACTATCCCCTCCTTCACTTAAACAATCAATCCAATTAATGATTGAAATTCTGGCAAGTTGTCTTCATAAACGTTGTACAAATTATTATATGACTTCCAAGATATACATTTAACTTTACAGCCGTTCGACTGAGTCAACCAATTTTTGTCACAAGTCGTCTACACATTGTGACGTCACAAACATGGTGCTTGTCATAATGTAATGACTCTATGTCAATCTGTTCTGAATTGTGGTTTTGTAAAATATAGAAGTTTGCGAACTTTTTGATCACCTCTCGTACGTACATAGCGCAATCACAAATTTGCGTAGAACTACAGAAAATATTGAATGTACCATACACAGGGAAATGTATCCCTAAATAACATAATTTATGTCATATACAATACCACACAGTAGCAAAGACATGTACGAAATTAAAAAAAAAACTCTTTAGTTATAACTTTAAAATCGTTTCATATATAAATATATATTTAAAAAGGTCAACATTTCCAATCTTTTACTGTGCGGTCCAGAAAATAGAATGTTGGACCGGTACAATGTATGTGGAATGTTCGATCGCTGGTTTTTTTTTCCTCTTTGTTTGTCTGCATGTTTGTTTGTTTGTTTTTAAGTAAAACTTAATTTGAATTTGTTAATTCTCAGCCTAGGCTGGATATTTAATTTGCATTCGTTTGTGTTCGACAATTATGAAATTGACCAATTTAAGTAATATGTTTTGTGA